CAGCTCATCCCCACTGTGAGGTCTTTGCTGTCCACGTCGAACATGATGGCATCATACTGGGCTGGGGCTGCAGGAGGAAGCACAGAGAGTTGTTATCCCATGGACAGAGGTGAACCACACATGATAGGGAGGCAACAAATGGGATGGTCCAGACATCCCCTCTGCCATGTTATGGGTCTTTTCTCTCTCCTGGGGTTTCTCTTTCCAAATGAAACCCAAAGCAGCAGCCCTTGGTGCTGAGGGAGGCAGCAAATCTAAGGTCCCTTGCACACTAGGCAAGGACAGGCTGTGAGCTGCAGAGACCTGGTGAGGCTGGAGACTGTGACACGTGGCAGGAGATGGGCAGGGATGGGAAGCAGGGGGTGAAAACAGCCCAGGACCTCAATCCTCAGCATGTCACCCACCAGACTTGATGGGATACCCAGAATGCTCCCCAAGAAGGCACCTTCAGCCGCCAGCTTGGCCACGTAGTCCAGGCCATCGGAGATGTGCACTTGCATCCGGTCACCCTGGGAGAAGCCGAACCAGTGCGTCGCCACCTCCAGCATGGAGGGGTCAATCTCCACCACGGCCACGTGGGCCTGTGAGAAGTAGTCATGGATGAAGAGGGGCAGGCTGCCACCGCCAAGCCCCACCACCAGCACTGCCAGCGAGGCTCCTGCCAATGGAGAACACCCAGTGAGCCACCAGGATGCCCGGCTCCCACTGCTCATCCCACCCGCCGTCCACAAACCGCTTAGGGAAGGGTGCATGGGGCCAGAAAAACCATTCCCCAAGGAGCTGGGGTGTAGGGACACAGCACCTGCCCCCAGCACAGCCTCTCACTGCTGGCCTTGTCACCTGGGAGGGGGTCAGGGCCCCCCAGCAGGCAGAGCCCTGCGACCATGGCCTTGTGGTGCTCACAGCACAGGTAGCTCTTGTCAATGGCTGCAGGTGGCTCAGCAGGGCTGGGTTTCTTCTTGTCCTTCCTCCGTTTCTTCTGGCCTGAATGACAGGAGATACCAGCTGGTAAGGCAAGGTGGGAGACAGAGGTGCCTTCTGGGGACTAGCCACCCCCAGCCCTGCCCCACCCACAGTGCTAAACCGCTCCCAGAGCTGCTCTGGGACCAGGCAGGCAGGTCTCAGCAGGACTTTAACCTTCCTCCTCAATCTCATCTCTGTCACCCCCAAAAAAATCAGCCTTGGCCCCTGCCCCTTCCTGGCTGCCCCAGGTACCTGGGAGAGGTCTGGGAGCCAGGAGCCGGGCCTCCGACTGCACCACGTTCCTGTTGCAGAGGAAGATGAGGCGGCGGAAGTAGCAGGTGCCGTCTCCCTTCACGTCCTCCACCACGTACTCCCCGCTCAGGGGGCTGGTGTCCCGGTGCCGCACCGCCCGCACCCCGATGTCCCCTCCCACGGACAGGAAAGGCACCTGCAGGAAGGACAGTGACTGGTGTGAGGAAGGAAAGACTACAAAAGCAGAGCCTGGCATTCCCACTGTCCTGACTATGGCTACGGAGCCATGACGAAGTGGACACAAGGCAGGAGCAGTGGGATGCCAGAGGAGAGCTGAGGACCTGCACTGGCTTCACTCCCATCCATGTGTTGGGGGTAGAGGGAGCAAACACCTCATGACTTCCTGCAAGAGGTCAGGTTTGGGGAGTTGGGGAGGAAGGAGGAGACAGGATGAGCAGAAGTTAAAGCCAGGATTAAGAAGAGGCTGCTCTCAGGGTTTCGGGATGCCCGGTTTTCTTGGGATGCTGGGTTTTTGAGGGGAAGGATTTCACACTGAATCTGCCTTCAAGCAAAGGTAGACAGCTGGAAGGAAAACCAGGAAGAGCTACACCTAAAGCCAGTCTCCTGCCCACCAAGGCAGCCAGCTCACACCTTGCAGCTTGGTCTCCCTTGGAGAAGAGGGATTCACTGCTGGAAAAGAACCAGCCTGGCCCCGGTTTTGGGGAAGCCAATCCAGGGGTTTGGGCAGTGGGGGCTCACCTGCTGCCGGGCAGGGAGGCCTGGCGGGGCCAGCTCCATCACCTTCCCTGACAGCTCTGCCTGGATGCCAGCCATGCCCTCGTAGTGCTGCTCCCTGTGAAGGGCCACGGTGACGAGGCGCCCAAAGCCCGCACTGGTGGCCAGCTGCCTCCGTCCCTCCTCCGTGCCAAAGAGCCACTCGGTTTCTCTGCCCTGTGGAACTGCAGAAGGGGATGCCATCAGCCTGGGCTGCTCCTGGTCCCAGGGGCAACCACCCCAACCTCCAAGGGAGGAGCCACAGGGAATGGCAAGACATAAGGAGGTACCACTGTGTGACTAGAGCCGTGCACTGCAACCACCAAGAGAGCCAGGAGCTCCCCTGTTTTGAGCAGGCTCATGCAGGAGGCTGGAAAAGCCATGTCTCATTAGAAGGGGTGTCCAACAGCCTCATGACCTGTCTCCAGGCTGTGCTAAGCCCCAGCTTTGCAGGTGTGCAGAGGGGGAACAGCGCCACTGGCAGAGCCTGACACGTCTCTGTGAGGTGCAAGCACAAAAGCCAAGTGCAGCCCCAGCAGCCCAGCACTGCAAGTCGGGACACCCACACAGAGCAGAGACGCCTTCCCAGCTGCATTGCTGCACCCTGGCTTCATGCAGCAACGTGCTATGGTGGCTGTCACCAGCATCAAGGCAGGAATCACCCCCTTGGAGGCAGGACAGGCAGCGTCCCTCTGCTGTGAGATGCAGCCAGCAAGCTCTGTGTCAGGTCTCTGCTTGCGCCACCAGGCAAACACGTCCCACCACAAAGCCAGGACTAAAACAACAACCGAACCCCCCACAGGTGGGTTATTTCCCTCTCCAGTCCCAAACTCAACAGGGCCTGAAGGGCTGGCCATTTGCAGCTCCTGGCCAGAGCACCATCTCGTTGCAGGCAGGACAGGCTGTACTCACTGATGAAGATGGCAAAGCGATTTTCCCGGGAAGGTTTCACCGAGGGGCTGTCAACCACATGGAGTGTGTAGCGAGGCTTCCCACTCTCCTTGTCACACAGATCCAGGGAAACCTGTTCCCTGCAGGGGGTTTTGCTCAGCTGGCTGCAGAGCAGGGCGTAATGCTGCCTGTCCTTCACCGCTGCCACCAGCCGCTCCACGCTCTCCACCCGCATCGGCTTCTCCTGCTCCTCGGGGCAGATCTCCAGGATCTGTGGTGCCGAGCCAGGGATCTTCCTGAATTTTGTCATGACATAGACAAAGACTGGTAGGACAAACTGCTGGTTGTCCCCACTGCCGGCCACCTGATGGACACGCACGACCCAGCCTTCCTGGGAGAAGTATTCCACTGCTTTCTTCAGCACATGGGCTTGAGCCAAGGACACACAGAGGTAGCGCCCTCCCACCTGCAGGACCCGGCTGATCTCGGCAAACATCTGGTCCACCTTGGCCAGAGTGGCCTCTTCTTCATCAGTAAGGAGGGCATCCAGCGTGCCTTTGTCCAGGACCACCTGGAAGTGGGCGTCAGGGAAGTCCATCTGAAGCATGTCCATGAGCAGGTAGCTCATCTTTGGCCTCCTGCTCCCGCTCCGCTCCTGCATCTGACGGATCACGGCGTCGCTGATGTCGATGTTCACGATGTCCTCGCACATTCCCACGTCGTACATCTGCTCGCTCAGCTCCGAGTTCCCACAGCCCACCACGAGAACCTGGGGCAAGGCACAAGAGCAGTGGGATGGTGAGAAACCCCTGGAAACGTGCCCTCAAAGCACTTCATGAGCAAATATCAGCCACGGCTACGCGCCCTCATGAAAACCACACCCAGAGAACCTGCAAAATCACTGTCCGGGCCCTAAGACAACATTTCCATAGAGAAAAGTCACATGGGCACAGAAGCAATGGATCTGCTGCATCTCCTCTGGGAACGATCTGCGTGTTTTACCCTCCAGAGCTCCCCAGACCAAAGCAACCCAGGGGTCTCTCCTGTGCTCTTACTGTGGCACACTGGGGGCTTCACATCATCTGTGTCAACACACAATGGCAATTTACGGTGGGACAGAGAAGCACAGAACTCACACATCGAATCACACAGAATCAATTACATTGGAAAAGATATCTGAGATCATCGAGTCCAACCTGTGACCCAAAACCACCACATCAACTAAACCATGGCACTAAGTGCCACATTCAGTCTTTTCTTAAACACCTCCTGGGACAGTGACTCCACCACCTCTCTGGGCAGTCCATTCCAATGTCTAAGCACCCTTTGTGTGAAGAAATTCTTGCTAATGTTCAACATAAACCTCCCCTGTACAGCTTGAGACTGCATCCTCTCGTCCTGTCGCTGCTTGCTTGGGAGAAGAGCCCAACCTTCACGTGGCTACAACCTCATTTCAGGGAGCTGTAGAGTGATAAGGTCACCCTTGAGCGTCCTCTTCCCCATGCTAAACAACCCCAGAAGGAGTCCCGGGGAGACTCGGCCCGGGCACAGGGCGCTGGGTACGCACGGGGCTCACCTTGTCGCGGGGCCGCACATACTTGTGCAGGACGGGGCAGAGCTCCGGGAAGGCCCCGTACCACTCGAAGGCGCGCTGCCCGCGCTGCCGGAAGAAGCGGTCCCAGTACCGTGCGGAGCCGAACTCCGCGGGGCTGCGGGGCAGCAGCTCCATGGCCGGGCACGTTCGGCCCCGCTCCCGCCCCGCTCCGGCCCCACGTGGCCCCGCTCTGACCGCTTCCGGGTCTGCGGCGCGCGCGAGGGCGGTGGACTCGCCACCCATTGGCTGCCTCTCCCCCGGCGCTTCCCATTGGCCAGCGGGAGCGCGCGGCAGGAGCGCGCAGCGGCCCCGGCGCGCCCCCGCCCGTTCCCGTTCCCGGTTCCCTGGGGCGCACGGGCCGGCCCGGTCGCGGCACTCTGCTCAAAATCTCCTGGCAGAAAGGGCGACAGGGACGGAGCGGGCCGGCGCCGCCCCCGAGGCACAAACGTGCGGCTCCAGCAGCCCGGACCCGCCGGGCCCCGCGGCGCTGCCGCAGCGACAGAAACAGGGCGGAAAGAAGTACCGATGGGTTCTAAAGGAGCAGCTTTAATGGCAGCCCGCAGCAGAACAAAGCTCTCCCGGGGCTGTGCGTGACATGGACATGCAGGGGGCTTGGAGGGGATGATCTCCAGAGGTCCCTTCAAGCCCTAACAATTCTGCGATCTATGGACACGGGGTGCCTGCAGCCCGGGGCATTAGCTGGGACCAGAGTGGCGCTCTGTCGAGTTGCTCTGAAGAAAGAAGGCAGAGAGCTCGCTCAGTGCTCTGTATCGGTGTGAGATGGAGTTCTTCACTGCCTTGGGCAGCTCAGCGTAGCTGCAGGGTACAGAAAACACAAGTCTCAGCAGCAGAGACACTTCAGGATATGTCCCCTAGTCACCAAGAGCTCCCCCTCTGCTCACTGCCTCCCTGCTTGGCTCAGCAGGCATCTGTAGTGACATGCTGGCAGAGCCAACAACCCCCATCCTGATCCAGGGGTTCCCTGTAATGCACCACATTCAGATCCAGGAGAGGTTTTCTCCCTGATGCCCCTCCCTGCAAGCAAGTTCCTCTTGACACCTTCGCCCCTGGCTTGCCCTACATAAAGAGCTGTAGTTAAACACCACTTACGTCTGGTTGTAGCCATCTGGCTGAAAGCAGGGATCCCAGCCAAAATCCCGAGGGCCTCTGGGCTCCACAATCAGCCCCTGCCATAAGAAAGCAAAAAGGGCCCCTTAAGCTGTGGTTTCACAGCAATTCCCCTGCAGCCACATTTCAAACACAGGCTGAGGGGCTGCACACAGCCACAGACCCCACTGCAGCCCCCACAGGCTCTGCACAGTGCTGTCTGTGCTCCTTCTCAGCACCTCCCCGGGGTGTGACAAAATCGGCAGCCCCAAACTCACGCTGCCCTATGTTGGCAGGGCCTTTACCCCTCCAAATAACAGAGCTAACAACTGCACTCAAATACAGCCCTGTCAGAGGGAGATGAGGGGCTGAAGAGACCAAGGTAACATGCAGAGCTCAGCAAGTCCCACTGGAGAAAGGGATGCAGCGCCACCACCCTCTCTCTCCCTCAGCCTGTTCCCAACACTGAGAAGCTCCGAGGGCGTTCAGTGACCCAGGGGCCACTAAAATTGTCCTCAGCAGAGCCAGTGCTGTCACACATCACATCCCAGCCCTCCTCCCCCTGCATGTTCCCTTTCCCAGCCACACCACCTACGTGGGTCTGGCCCTTGAACAGCCTCACAGGCTCCTCGGGGTTCCCACTGCTGAAGGCGAAGGTACAGAGGGCGTAGGCAGACTTGTCTTCAAACCCAGCCAGCAGCTTGTACAGGCCTGAGAGAGACACAGAGAGGATCCCGGCGTTACTGCCGCTCCCTCGGAGCGCAACACACCCCCTAGGGACGGCTCGAGGGAGCTTTCCGCGCTGCATTCCCCACCGCATTCCCAGCCACCGCGGAGAGGAAGAACTGCAAGAGGTGACAAAGCTCAAGCACAGGGATGCACTTGGCGGGATCCCTCCTATGACTGAAGCCAGAGCCTCAGACCTCACAGTGTGAGTTGCAGGGCCTCGCTACGATTTGGGGAGAGGAAGCCAAAATGCAGCACCAGAGAGGACTAAACCCACTCTGAATTAGAGTGATTAATGCTCATGTTAATGGGATTAACACTGAACTGTGGGATCAAGGCAGTCACTGCACACCAGGGGAGGGGAGGGGAGCATTAGTGGAGAGAGGTTTGCACTGAGGCAATGGGGAGCAGCAGGTCTGTCAGGTCACACTGATGACAATCAAGAAGTTCCCACAAGCCCTGCCACCAGCCTGCAGAGGCAGGAATCTGGGAATCCAGGGATAAAGCTGCTGGGGAAAACAACATCCCAGGAAGGAGGGCAGAGAACAGGCTCCAGGAGAGAATGTGAAGAGACAGAGCTGGACAGGCAGGAAAGGGAACCAGAAATGAAACAGGCAGTGTGGTGGGCAGGCAGGCTGGGCAAACCCAGCATGGACAGGGTTCCACTTCAGGGGAAAAGGAGCAAGTTACAAGCAGAGCAGTGACACGAGAGCAGTACCTTCTGGCTTCAGTTTCTCCAGGAACCATTTTCTGAAGAAGAAGGAGAGAGGGAAGATTAATTTTTGCTGTTATCTCTCAGAAATACAGGTATCCTTGAGACATTTGCATACATTTGCATAGCCCCTTGAATCCCTCTTCAATGTGCTCAGATCACCTCAGGACTACTTACCAGTAAGGGCAGACTTAGCTCTTAAAGTGAACAGGACACAGTGAAAACAGCAGTGGAGTATTTAATTTAAAGCAGTCCTGGGGTCTATGTAAATAACCCAGTGCTCACTCCTGAGCCATGCCAAAATACATTTCTCAACACAAACTGTTCACATTTTACACCCAGCTGTAGTGCTGACTTGGTCACAGCCTCAAGCCTGCCAGAGTTCAAGAAGTGTTTGAACAAGGCTCTCAGACACATGGTGGGATTCCTGGAGTTGTCCTGCACAGGGCCAGGAGTTGGACTTGAGGATCCTTGCGGGCCCTTCCAACTCAGGATATTGTATGATTCTATTCTATAACCTAAAGCTTTTATGTCTGCTTAGCACAGCAGAGATAGTTTGGAAGAATTAATCACACTAACAGTTAATTCCAGGAGATGAGGCAGTATTTCACTGCAGAAGCTCCACTGTAATGCAATAACTTTTTTATCTGCTGGATTTAAGCAGTTCCTATGAGAACCTACAGACACTCATCCCAGAATCCTGCTGAAAGGCCTGGTGCCTTCATTACACAGACCCCACTGTGTGGACAGGTTCCCAAGCTCACCATAGGCTGGGAGCCAGAGCCAACAATCCAGGTCTGTCTGTCTCATCCCACTCCGTGACTTACAGCAGGGCTCAAGGAGTTAAGTCCAGCCCCTGGGGTGCAGGATGAAGATCAGGACACAGACCAGGAATCACCTCCCTGACCCTACTGCTCCTGGCACACAGAGAATCCTCCACTGTGCCCACCCTGCCAGCCTGTGCTCCTAACTCTGGCACACAAAAGAGAAAGCAACTTCCCTCCTACTTACATGTAGGGTCCTGGAAGGCCCCCCAGGGCATTGAAGCACAAGCAGGTGTCCTCTACTATAACAGGTCCCTGAACCTACAGCAAAAGCCCAAGAGGAGGAAACATTAGCCCTAGAGGAAAGTCACTGCTTCCAAACCTATTTCCTTGCTCTGTCCTATCCTCACATTTCCACTTAGCCTCAAATGAAACTTTGACCTTAAAGGCAACACACACCAGACAGACACAATCCAACCCAAGCTCTCCCCAGGCAGGCCAGAGTGGCTGAGGAACAGTAGAGAAGGTTTCACATGGAGGAAAACAAGCTGAGGTGAACACCCCCTACCCTCCTGAGGGATGGGAATGGCAGGACAAGGAAAGGGAAAGCCTGTATCCTGGAGGCAAGCCTGCATTTCTCTTGAGTCCCAGCTCTCACTCGGTTCTTTTAAGACACCCATCCCAGAGACAGCTCTGGAAGCTCAAAATGACAGCAAATGTTGTGTCCTGCAGCCACAGGGGCTGGACTGAAGGAGCTGCCATGTCCTCCTGCTGCTCCAGGGACACAGGAGACCAGAGGAGCCACAGCGGGGCTGCCAAAACACCGTGTCACCAGTGAGAATTCACCATCACCCCGCCCAAACCGGGGCGACGGGAGTGCAGTCAGGCCAGGCCAGGCGAGGCTGGATGTGCCCTTGGCTTCCCTCGGGGTCGGTTTGGATGCCCCAACCTTCCTGTCTGGGGTCCCTCTGGGAAAAGCGAGAGAGCAAAGGAGGGACCTGCCGGGCGGCTTCACGGCACTTCTGCACGGAGATCTCGTCTGGCTCCCCCTGGTACTCGGGCACTGCGGACACAGGGATCGGTGATGAGGAGACAGCCGGGACGAAACGAACCGCCGCGTCCCGCCGGTCCCGCCAACAACTCACGGTCAATCTTCTTCGCCACCAGCGTGTAGGGAGAGGAGTCTCCGAGGATCTGCGTGACCTGCAGAGGGAGAAGAGAAGGAGTAGGGAGGGAGAAGGGAGGCGAACCCGCCCGCAGCTCCGGTCCCGCCGCCCCCCCACCTCCTCCAGCTTCTTGGCGTTGCCAGTCACGAACACGACACTCCGCCGGGCGGGCGCCGCCATGCTGACCCCGCGCGCGGCCGCCGCGCGCGCCCGGCCGCCAATCAGCTCCCGTGGCCGCGCCGCGCCCCTCAGCGCCCAGCCAATGGGAAAGGCGTCTGCCCCGCGCCCCCGCAGCGCTCAGCCAATGGGAACGGCGCTCACCTGTGCGAGGCGGGAACTGCCAGCCCTCCGGGGGCGGGCACGGGGCCGGGACGGAGGGTCTCGCGAGAGGCGCGCAGAGGACGGAGCGGGTCGCCATGGCGACCTTCCCCCTCACGGCCCTGGTCCTTGTTTACAGCCCCGGCGTTTGGCAGCCGCGGCCGGAGGATCCCCGTGCCTGTTTTCCCTGAAGTAGAACCACATTGTTCGTTGGAGGAATCGGGCAGTGCGTTGTGCGCCAAGCGCTGCTGCTGTTCACCCCCACGACCTCTGGCGCGTCTCTGCGCTGACATCTGGTTTCGTGTGTCGGGGCGATCAAGTTCTGTCGCTGTTGCGTTTGCTGATGGTGGTGCCTCTCACAGCCAGAGCGGGTGCCTTGGGAAGGTCTGTGCTCAGGACAACCTCAGTGCGGAGTGACTCGAGCCTCAAACCACACCCGACACTGGCACCTCATGGCAGTGCAGTGATGGCTTTGGTTGAGGCAGCTTTCCCTGCCCTGCATCTCCGGTAAATGCAGGGCCACCTGGACTCGGGAGGCAAGAGGTGTCCGTGGGGCCGGTATGGAGCCCTAGAGGACAGGTCAGTGCAGTCCAGCACTTGTGGGGAGCAGTACCCTGGCAAGCAGCAGCCGGGTCCTGGGAGCTCTCCCACCGTGGTACCCAGGCCCCTCCTCACCACCAGCCCCCCCAAAAGCCCCTGCTTTGCAAGGGGACTCCACAGGAGGGAGTCCCCCTGGGCTGCCCAGCTGCCAGAGACGTGAGATCTCTCCCCACCTGTGTCACATCCCTGCAGCCCCCCTGCCCTCAGGCATGGGCAGCCCAGGGTCTCACCACACAGGTCACACCTGCAAGCCTGGGAGGAGGAATGCACAGCTACAGCCAGAAGACGCCATTCCCTGTACAAAAGCAACCATGTGGAAAACAGCAGCTGACGGTCTGTCTTCTGCACTGTGAGGGAATGGATAAAACAGACCCAATGCTTGGGTGAAGGAGTTGTTTTTGTTGTAGAATCTCCTTCATAATGTCTTCCAAGTGAAAACCAACCCTCAAGCTTGCAGACACTGCTGGAAACAATAACTCTTTCTGCTCACTGCAGTTCTCCCTGCCACCAGTCCAGCATGGGACAGCACAGGCTGCAATATGAAGACCACAGTATCAGAGGAGCACAAGGAGGACTGCTCAGTACCACCCCAAGACCAGACATTTCCAATGGTCTTTCCAGCCTTGGGAAAAAAAAAATCTATAAAAGTTGTTTAGTAAGTTCTGTTACTGTGAAGCTTCTGACCAGGACCGTTGGTTTGCTGCTGGGAGTGCCTCTCACAGCCAGAGCTGGTCCTTTGGGAAGATCTGTGCTCGGGACAACCCCAGCATGGAGTGACTTGAACCTAAAACAGTTCTGGCAACTCAAGGAGGTGCAATGATGGCCTTGGTTGTGGCAGCTTTCCCTGCCCTGCATCTCAGGTACAACCGTTTGCACCCCGGCCTCCTGGCAATGCTGCAAAATCTCTCTAGCAAAGAGTCAAGGAATTCCATCTTTCCCTGAGCAAGAGCCTGCTGCCTGCACTTGGCTTGGTCCAGTCTTCATCCCATCAGCACCCACTTTCCAAGGCCCTCAGCCCAGTATTAAAGCCACAGTTTGCCTTCAGCAAGGAACTTCAAAACCCCTTCTCTTGCCCAGAGCTGGTGCCAGTAGGGATCTGAAGTCCTCATACACTCCTGAGGCACCAAGGTCCTGATGTGGGTGGCAGTTGCAGCAGCAAAGGCAAGACAGGGCCAAGAGAGAAAGGCAGAGGCACTGGCAGGACTCTCCAGCAGCAAGAGTAAATGAACTCACTTCCCAGTTGGCAGGACATGGTACTCAACAGTTCAGCAAGATCTGCAGCCCCCTGGAGACAGACACAGTCCCTTCTTCATCCACGTTCTTGATCCCTCGCACTCAGAGAGTAGCCAAAGACACAAGCAGGATGATTTTTGTCTCTTCCACTGGGTGCATGATCTTAAAACCAGCCTATACTTGAGGAGGAAAAACCCAGCTTGGCTTTCTGGTTCCCACCCGGAGAGATCAGGGCTCACAGAGGGGAAAAGCCCTGTTTATATTCCAGCTGGGCAAGCAGAGCTTGTAATCACATCCAGCCCTCCAGCCTGCTGTGCTCACTCTTAATCCCCTTCCCTGCATGGGGCAGCACCACGACTCAGGTGGAAACTGTGTACAAGGTCCTGGGGGCAGGTTCACAAGGGGAACTGGGACACAGCACTGGGAATTCTCTGGGGCACCATTTCCCCTCTCCAGTATGATTTCAAACATGTGCTAAGCAGGACAACTCTTCTTTCATCAGAAAAGAGCAAAGAGAGAACCAGGAGAGCTTGATCTTAGCTCAGCTAAAGTCACAGGCTCAGGGCTGGAAAGAACAAGGGTCCCAAAAATAAAGGGCTGACAGAAATGCCACCAACACCTGAGACCAAGGCTGGAGACAGCCAAAACCCAACAGTCCCACCCATGAATGGAGGAGTTCAGCTCCTGTTTATCCCAGCACAGGGACCCCTACAGCTCCCAAAACACCCCAGCACATGTCTGAGAACAACCCCCATCCCACTGGATCACAAAGAAGCAAAATGGGCTGGCATTGGGACTGGGACCACAACATCGAGGAAAGGGCTCTGAATATGAAGTGGGCTCATTGCCTATGCACTGGTTTCAGGAGAGCTGCTCTTCTCCTGCTGTGTCTGTATATAATGGTGCTTACTGCTGGGCTCTACACACACTTCTTGCTTTTGGTTAAGAAAACACAGAAATGGCCCATTCCCAGGGACTCCCAGCCGTGGAGAGCCCTGAATGTCCTCCAAAACTTTATCAGATGTGCAGAAACTCCACATGTACAGTCAAAAATAGGTTTACTGGAATGTCTTTAGTCACAGCTGTAAGCAGCAATACTGAAAACACTGAGCTTGTGCATTCCCATGGCAGGACCAGAAAGTCTTCTGGATTGTAAAACCGAATTTCTTTTTTTTCTCCTTTTTTTTTTTAACACGAGAGAAACAACACCCTTGCAGTTCTCCACAGAAGAGCCAGTTTCCTGTAATATATTGGTATGTTTCTCTTCAGACATTTATCCCCTCTTTTTCTCTGATCAAAGGACAGAGTCCCCTCTGCCTTCCACAGCAGGGAGCTTCTTGAACAGTATTATTATTAATATTACAACTCAACCATATATACAGATAGATTGTAGTGGCAAGTAGCCAGCTCCAAACCAGAGACCCAGAGTTCCCCAAAACAGGCGATTTGGGATCTGAATCTTCTGTTATAAAAAATAAGTCTGACGGGAGGAACAGGTACTCGACCGGAAAAGGGCTGTTTGGCAGTTCCTAAAGCGCTCCGTTAGAACTGGCCGCTTGCCACCTCCTCCTGCTCCTTGCTCCCGGGAGAAAAACAACTTCAAAGCTATATACAGATATCTCACTTAAATTACACAGCAGTTTGGATATCCCAGAGGCTGCTCCAGCGAAGCCTCCAGCTGCCCCGTCAGGAACGGTACTTCAGGACTATGGGTACTGGAAAACACAAAGGAACAAGCTCTCACCACACACCCTCATGTGCACACCCGGCCCTGCCAGGGAGCCCCCCCGTTTCTGTAGCGACAAACACTGAGCAGCTGCGAGCAGAAGTGTGTTCCCAACCTCAAGCTAAAGCAATCTGCTGCCTGCACACACACTAGACAACATATCCTGCCACCTTCATCTCCTTCCAGCTTCCTAAAATTAAACCAGATGGGATTTTCCATCAGTCTCTCTCTTTCCACCCTGCTGCCAGCTCTGCCTCTCCCTTGCTGCAGGCTGTGTGTCAGAAGGACAACAGGCCGTGAGGGCTTTGCTGAAGGAACATGGACAGTTGCAGAGCTGCCCCCGGCCACCTCAGTGGGAGGAAAACCCTCTAGACTCAGTGGTCCAGAAGGGCTGAGCTGCCATGCTGGGCTGCCTGGATCCCTGGAGCACATCATTCTGCAGAGGGATGAATTACTTCTGCTGGAAGAAACACGCTCTGGTCATTATTAGCTGTTTGGTAGGAAAACCAGTGACATCTTGGCTCTGGGGAGCTCCAGGAAGGGCAGAGGGCAGGGGAAGGGACCAATGGCAAAGCCAAAACAGCTACTTGATGAAAATTAAGCAGCTTAGGGGAAGAGCGTTTGTAGACAGCAGGCTCATGGCAAGATGACTGCTACATGTGGAGATGCCTTTGGAAGACATTGCTTTGGTCTGAAACTTTTCCATTTCCTCCCACCAGCCTTGGCATCAGTCAGTGCCAACCCTGGATCAGTACAAGGTTGGCAGGGCAGTGCTGGCTTTCTCTGGTCAGAGTCAGCAGGACTCGGTCTGAGCCTTGCAGAGAAGGGGCACAGAGTGGCCTACAGACACCACTTAGGATGGCTTAAGGCAGAGTGGGGCCTGATGGAGTGGCTCAAGTGCACTCCCCCAGGGACAGGAGCACCATGGTGTCCCAGCATGGAGTACCATGAATATTTCAATGCCAGACATGGCTGGGGTGATCTGGAGCTACTCACCAATGATCACGAGCAGGAGAATAACCACCACCATCGCTATGATCGCCTTCATCTGCAAGGGGAGCACACAGGCATGTTACACAGGGTGCCTGGGGCACCTGCTTTGACCCAAAAGGACACCTTTGCCTTCCAGCATCTTTTCAGCTGGAAAGCAGAGCTTCTCCATCCCTCCCAGGAGCAGGCAGGTAACCACCCTTCCATAAGCCCACCCCTGCCTGTTCCCGTTCTTGCTCACCTTACAGTCTCGCCACCACATCTGCCTCCGGAGGTGCTTGGCTCTTTTGCTAAAAGCTGCTGCATTGTCTGATAGACTGTCTAGTAA